ATGAAGCCTGCCACTTCTGGAGTCACTAGCAAGAATTGTGTTTTTAACTTTTGACTTGTGATGGAAAGGTGGGAGGGGAGAGCCCTCTTTTTTAAAAAAAATAGCTGAAGCATTCATGTTTCAAGCCTATGCTTATGTTTTTTAAGGAAACACATAAGTAACCCACAATCTCCCCATTGAAAATGCAAACCACAGCTCTGTAATGGCAAGATTCCTTGATCAAAGGGGCATCAAAAACAATTAAAACAGCCCAATTAGAGCAGTCTCTGCATATCCCCGCAACACCTTTAATCCGACATTCAAACAAGAAAGGAACTGTTGGGAGTTTGGAAAGCGCCAACAACAAAGAGGCTTCAGAGACCAGTGACTTGGAAAAGCCACAGAGCTCAAGCGAGTGGTTACATTCCTGGAGAGCACAAAGCCACACAAAGACCTTCAAGCGGTAGAATCAAACTCAAACTCTCCCGAATAAAGAGGAAAGAAAGAGGCGGGGGAGAGAGAGAGGGGAAGGAGGGAAGCCAAACCACCCAGCACTGCTCTATGCAGATGTTTTCCAATGACATCAGTGCTGGCTGAGGGCATTTTGCTGCCTGAGGTCGAGGGCATGCTGTTGGTGCCCTTTCTCATTCGTTATACAGAAGCTGGCACTTCTACTTTCGACCCTGCAAAGGATCCAGTGTCTTCCACTAGTCCTAAAGGTGACACAGTAGCCAAAACAGCAAGTCATTAGAGCAGTGTTTCTCAACCTGGGGGTCGGGACTCCTGGGAGGGGGGGACGCGAGGGGGTGTCAGAGGGGTCACGAAAGACCATGAGAAAACACAGTATTTTTGGTTGGTCATGGGGGTTTTGTGTGGGAAGTCTGGCCCAATTCTATCGTTGGTGAGCTTCAGAATGCTCTTTGATTGTAGGTGAACTATAAATCCCAGCAACTACAACTCCCAAATGTCAAGGTCTATTTTCCCCAAACTCCACCAGTGTTGATATTTGGGCATATTGAGCATTCCTGCCAAGTTTGGTCCAGATCCATCATTGTTTGAGTCCACAGTGCTCTCTGGATGTAGGTGAACTACAACACCAAAAACTCAAGGTCAATGCCCACCAAACCCTTCCAGGATTTCCTGTTGGTCATGGGAGTTCTGTGTGCCAACTTTGGTTCAATTCCATCATTGGTGGAGTTCAGAATGCTCTTTGATTGTAGGTGAACTATAAATCCCAGCAACTACATCTCCCAAATGACAAAATCAATTCCCCCAACCCCACCAGTATTTAAATTTGGGTATTTGTGCCAAATTTGATGAATGAAAATACATCAACAATAGCAAAATGACAGTTATGAAGTAGCAACGAAAATAATTTTATGTTTTGGGGTCACCACAACATAAGGAACTGTATTAAGGGGTCAAAGCATTAGAAAGGTTGAGAACCACTACATTAGAGCCATAGGCTCTACGGTGGCACAATGGATTAAGCCCTTGTGCTGGCTGAACTGCTGACCTGAAAGTCTACAGTTCAAATCCACAAGACAGGGTGAGCTCAAATCTGTCAGCCCCAGCTTCCCATGGGAGGGTGGTGGAGTATCATTCTCTGGAGGTTTTTAAACAGAGGCTGGAAGGCCAGGCTATCTGTTGGGAGTGCTTTGATTGGGTGTTCCTCTATGACTGGGGTTGGACTGGATAAACCTTGCAGTCTCTTCTGACTATGAGACTGTAGTACATACACTGACCTGTTGATAAGCCGACAATGGGTTTCGGGAGGGTTAATTTTTTGACTAAAATTTCTAGACTTATATGTGAATATACCCAGAAAAAAAGTTTTAATGCGCCTTGAAAGTGGGGTGAATAACTCAACTTCAACCCCATCACTTCAAACCTCCCTGATGCCCAATGAAGGCAGCATCCACATCAGGCATCCTCAAACTAGAGCCCTCCAACTGTTTGGGCCTCCAATTCCACAATTCCTGATCATTCAACAAACTGGCTAAGACTTAGAATCATAGATTCAAAGAATCATGGAATTGGAAGAGACCTCGTGGGCCATCCAGTCCAACCCACTGACAAGAAGCAGGAAAATGGCATTCAAAGCACCCTCAACAGATGGCCATCCAGCCTCTGCCTAAAAGCCTCCAAAGATGGAGCCTCCACCACACTCCGGGGAAGAGAGTTCCACTGCTGAACAGCTTTCACAGTCAGGAAGTTCTTCCTAATGTTCAGGTGGAATCTCCTTTCCTGTAGTTTGAAGCCATTGTTCCCATGTCCTAGTCTCCAGGTCAGCAGAAAACAACCTGCTCCCTCATCCCTATGGCTTCTTCTCATATATTTATAGACTAGCTTGGGGACCCGGCGCTGCCCGGGTTTTTTGAGAAAGGAATTGTGTATCAAGGTTGGTCTTTATCAGTTATTTATATGGCTCGCAGTGGTCTCAGGAAGTTAGTGAAGGTACTGCGAGTCCCATCATTTGTGGTCCAATCTCCTTCAAAATGCACCAGAATGGAGAGTGGGTTGTGGGGGCTCTGTGCTAAGTTTTGTTCTTGATCAAATATTGGATAAGGGTCACAGTGGTCTCAGAAAGTGAGTTTAGGTACTGGAAGTCCCATCATCCATCGTCCGTCCTCCTCCAAACAGTATCAGAATGTAGAGTGGGTCATGGGGGCTCTGTGTGCCAAGTTTGGTCTTGATCAGACATTAGATGAGGGTTGCAGCCGTCTTGGGAAGGGAGTGGAGGTACTTGAAGTCCCATCATCCATGGTCTGTCCTCCTCGAAAGTGCACCAGGATGTAGAGTGGGTCATGGGGACTCTGTGCCAAGTTTGGTCTTGATCAGTCATTGGCGAGGGTCTCAGTGGTCTCAGGAAGTGAGTGAAGTGACTGCAAGTCCCATCATCCATTGTCAAATTCTTCCAAACCGCACCAGGATGTAGAGTGGGTCATGCGGGCTCTCTGTGTGAATGGTGGTCCTGATCCATCATTGTTGGCAGTTGTAATGGTCTTAGGAAGGGAGTGCAGGTATTGCAAGTCCCATCGTCAATGGTGCATCCTCTTCCAAACTGCACCAGGATGTAGAGTGCATCATGGAGACTCAGTGTGCCAAGTTTGGTCTTTATCGATAATTAAATGAGGGTTGCAGTGGTCTCAAGAATTCAGCAAAGGTACTGCAAGTCCCATAATCCATGGTCCATCCCTGGCCAAACCACACCAGGATGTAAAGTAGGTCATGAGAGGTCTATGTGCCAAGTTTGGTCCTGATCAGTCATTGGATGCGGTTAACAGCGGTCTCAGAACGTGAGTGATGGACCTGCAAGTCCCATCATCCATGGTCCATCCTCCTCCAAACTGCAGTAGGATGTAGAGTGGGTCGTGGGGGGCTCTGTGTGCCAAGTTTGGTCTGTACTGGTAATTTTCTGACTCCGCCCCCTCTGGCCTTTTCCTTTCCTCTCTTTGTCATCTCAGAATCTTGGAATTGAGGCCGGCCAATCAGAGAACATATGCAAATTTCCTTCTCATGTTCCCGTTTCTGTCATGAACTCTTTTCTCCCCCAGGGGCTCCTCTTGAAGCTGGCCAATCAGAGACCATATGCAAATAGCACCACAGCGGCAGCCAATCAGAACGCTGGCACATACTCCTCCCGCCACACCGCCACACTTTTGCCCGCCGCATACAAACTTTGACTTTTATTATATACATAGATAGATGGCCCTCATAATGTCTCCTATCAGCCTTCTCTTCTTCAGGCTAAACATGCCCAGCTCTTTAAGACACTCCTGACAGCCTTGTTCTCCAGACACTTGTTCATTGTAGTTGCCCTTCTCTGGACACATTCCAGCTTGTCAACATCTCCCTTCAATTGTGGTGCCCAGAATTGGACACAGTATTCCAGATGAGGTAGGGCCAAGGCAGAAAAGAGGAGTAGCATTACTTCTCTGGATCTAGACATTAGACTCCTATTGATGCAGGCCAAAATCCCATTGGGTTTTTTAACTGCCCCAGCACATTGTTGGCTCATGTTTAACTTGTTGTCCACAAGGGCTCCAGATTGTCAACATCTTCCATCAACTGCAGTGCCCAGAACTGGACAAAATATTCCAGTATGGTCTGACCAAGGTGAGTGGTTCTCAACCTGTGGGTCCCTAGGTGTTTTGCCCTACAACTCCCAGAAATCCCAGCCAGTTTACCAGCTGTTAGGATGTTTGGAAGTTGAAGGCCAAAATACCTAGGGACCCACAGGTTGAGAACCACTGATTTACACACTAGACTCCTATTAATGCAGGCCAAAATCCCAATGGCTTTGGGCCTCCAACTTCTGAGAGTTGGAGGCCCAAAGAGCTGGAGGGCTACAGTTGAGGATGCCTGATTTGACACTGTAGTAGAAGGCATGCAGTTTGACCACACTTCAATGCTATGCCATCATGCCATATGGAGTTAGGTGAGGTGGCCCTAACACTCTGGCAGAGAAGGCTGAAGAAGAAAAACAACTCCCAGGATCCCATAGCGGTTAAGACGATACCAAGGTGCATTCATTGTACAGTGAAGACTAGGCATAGGCAAGCTTGGGCCCTCCAGGTGTTTTGGACTTCAACTCCCATCATTCCTTTATGGAAATCATGGCAGTGCAAACCCTCTTTTTGTTGTGCAAAATAGAAGAGCGGCTGAGGGGGGAAAGGAAGGGGACTGAGGCTGTGAGGAATGATGGGAGTTGAAGTCCCGAGGGGGTCCAAGCTTGCATATGCCTGCACTAGAGCATGGATCCACTTTAAACCCAGTTGCTGCCTCCTCCAGCTTAAAGGCGAGACTCTGCAGGAGGCTGCAACTGCTGGAAAGTGGGTAATAGATGCTGGATGAGGTCCTAAAGTGCCGTGGAGCCCCACTGCGCCCATTCGAGACTGCCTTGACTGCAGCCAGGAGACAAAGAAGGGGGAAGGAGGGGAGGGTCTCGCTTTGGCCTAGGAGAGGAGGCCCCCCTCCCTGCCTTGCCCCGCCCCACCCCTTGGGCTCCCTTGACTTACAGGATGGAGGTCTGGGGCGAGACGGCGGGGACGCTCTCGAGGGCGAGGTGCATGCAGCGCACCGTGGTCCGGAAGCAGAGGCACCGGCTCGGGCACCACACGCTGCTGCTGCCGCTGCCCCGCTGCGCCGAGGAAGGGGCGGGCGGAGGAGGGGGATGCTGCTGCTGCGGGGAGGCCAAGGGCAGGGAGAAGAGGAGCAGGAGGAGGAAGAAGAAGAGGAAGGGGGCTCCTCTGTCCCCTGAGTGCCCGTGGCGCCGCTGCCGGGCCATGCCCACGACAGAGAGACCGGCTGCCCTGCTTGGAGCGGGACCAGCAGGAAGAAAGGGCGCCAGTGCAAAGAAGGGACGGACGAATGGACGGAGGGGAGCGAGCCCGTCCCCAGCTCACCGCACCGCCTGGAAGGAGGAGGGCGAGGGAAGAAGAAGAAGAAGAAGCAGAGGGACCGCCCTCTCTCTCTCTCTCTCTCTCTCTCGCTCTCTCTCCCCGGCCCCAGAGGCAGAGCTTCCTCGAGGAAAAGGGGTGGCGCGCGCCCCCGCTCCCGTTCTCTCTCTCGCACTCTCTTTCCTTACAGGAGGGGAAAGGGGAGGGGGACCTGTGGGCGGGGCTAAAAGGAGCACACACTCTCTCCCTCCCTCCCGAAACTCCTCCCTCTCTCCCCCTCCCCATTCTTGCCTTCCCACCTGGGGCCCCCTCCACACATCTCCATAAAATCCCACATTATCTGCTTGGAACTGGCTTACATGGCCGTGTGGACTCAGATAACCCAGGGCCCTTCCACACAGCCCTCTATCCCAGGACATCAAGGCAGGAAATCCCACATTATCTGAGTGGGCACTCAGATAACCCAGTTTAAAGCAAATATTGTGGGATTTACTGCCTTGATATGCTGGGTTATATGGCTGTCTGGAAGGGCCCCAGCCATGACAGTCCAAGTGTCTAAGACCTCCTTCTACACAGCTGAATAAAATCCCACATTTTCTGCTTTGAACTGGATTATATGGCAGTGTGGACTCAGATAACCCAGGGCCCTTCCACATTACTCAATAAAATCCCACATTTTCTGCTTTGAACTGGGATGTATGGCAATGTGGACCCAGATAACCCAGGGCTGTCTGCCTGTGTTCGAGAATCATTCTCCCCTGACATTTCACCTGCATCTCTGGCAGGCATCCTCAGAGGTTGTGGGGTCTGCTGGAAAGCAGGCTAGTGGGTTTTATATGTCTGTGGAATAATGTTCAGGGTGAGAGAAAAAACTCTTGTCTGTTTGAAGTAGGTGTGAATGTTTCAATTGGCCACCTTGATTAGCATTTAATGGCCTAGCAGTTTTAACGCGTGGCTTCTTACTGCCTGGGAATATCCTTTGTTGAGAGGTGATTAGCTGTCCCTGGTTGTTTCTTGTCTGGAATTCCCATGTTTTTGAGTGTTTTTTTAAAATACTGGTAGCCAGATTTTTTTCATTTTCAGGGTTTTTCCCCCCTTTCTGTTGAAATTGTCCACATGCTTGTGTATTTCAATGGCTTCTCTGTGTAGCCTGACATGATAGTTGTTAGATTCTGGCTATGAAAGCCTTTCTGCAATACAACTCTAAACTTCTTCAAGTGATGTATGAGTGTAGATATCAACTGGTTAATCCATCTCCATGAGTACTTTGATTCTGGATAGCAAATAGTCAATTTATGTTCAAGACTACCAAAGCCAAACAAAAAGGAGGATGCAAGTTTTAAAAAAAGGAAGTCCGGCATTTTCCTCATTCACTGACTACTTAGCGTTTGTTTAGCACTCAAGACATGCTCAGGGGGCACTTTGCCCCACAGCATTCACTTGGTGGTAGGTTTTTAAGGAGCAGCATCTCCCACACCATATAGTATTGCTTCCCCAGTATAGAGTGGTGATCAGTGCAACTTTCAGGTTACTTTCCTGCTAGGAATGCCAGGCTGAGCCTTTCTTAGTGAGCCCTGGCACAAGTGGAGCCCCAGGAACATTTCTCTCCTTTTGGCCAGGCTTTGTGGTCATAAAAGGAGATTTTCTGGGTTTGCCTGACAACTTGCCCGAGAGGGAGGGGGCCCCGCTCTTAGGAGTAGTTGTTTTAGAGGAAATCTGTGACTGGGAAAAGCCCAGAGTCTCTCTCAGGAAAGCTGTTCAGGATGCAGTTCTAACTTGAGTCACAATCTTTTCTATTTTGCACAACAAAAAGAGGGTTTGCATTGCCATGATTTCCATAAAGGAGAGCAGCTTCCCATGTGTTTGAACTATCAACTTCCCACACATACAAATACACAAATTGTGACATCTGCACATTATACTTCTGGAGGCTACATCTGCCTATTGCCCTTAAAGCTTTCATTGTGGCACCAAGAAATGATTACATCTAGTACGCAATGCTTATATAATACGCTGTAACAAAAACAATGGCATGCTCTATTTATTCATAAGAAGAGTCTTGCAATATGATATCAGATATAAATATACAATCGAAGCACAACATTCGATGTCTCTGGTTCAAAAGCGTGTTATATGAGCAGTCAATCAGTAATGCTAATGTGGCCATGATGGAAATCTTGGGTTAGGACTTTAGATGGCCATTTCAAGTTTGGAGACCCAGGTAACAATCTTGGGCACATTCCTTGCTTCCAGCCTTAGAAGAAGACAATGGCCATAACTCTTGCCAAGAAAACCCTGTAACAAGATCACTATATGTGGGAATCTACTTGAAGGCACATAACAACAATCACATCTTAGGAAGTGCTTGCTCTTTTGTTTTCAGTCATCCTCTCACATGTTGGAAACCTTCTACAAGCTTCCACTAGTAATTTGTTATGTATGTATATAATCCAGATTGCCTAAAATATTGTATATGTATGTACTGGTATGCAGTAAAACTCTGTTTTACTGGAGGGACTGAAGATCAAGGACCCATCCAGACAGCCCCTTCTTTGCGGAAACTTCCACAATTAAAAAGGGGCTTCCAGATGACATTCTGGCCAACCTGCAATTAACCCTGGTTTGTGGCAAATTAATTAGATAGTGGATTTATTCCACGCCTTCTTGCAGTTCAGACACCATTCCCACAGTTTTCTGAACTAAATTAATCTGGAAAATTGTGGGAATTCCACCCCCTCCCCCACAGCCCCCAAACTCCTTTTAAAAGTAAAATAAACTTACCTGGCATCCACTACAGTCTGGCCAGAGCTCTCCTGGTGCATAGAAACGACACACCAGAAGAGTGGGGGGGGCGCTCTCCTGGTATGTCATTTCTATGCACCAGGAGAGCTCTGACCAGACTATAGTCGAGGCCAGGTAAGTTTATTTTACTTTCAAAAGGGGGTTGGGGGTTGTGGGGGAGGGAGGAGGGTCTCCAGGTGTTCTGCCAGACCAGTCCCGGAAGAATATCTGGACACCCACCCCAGAAATCGTGCGCTTACTGGGGTGGGTGTAGACAATCCCCCAGGAACATCCACTTTTTAAAACATGGATGCTCCTGGGATAAAGGGCTGTCTGGAAGCACCCTATGTGATCAGATCTGGAACTTTTAAGACTGAGTCTCCGGGCCCTTCCACACAGCCCTATATCCCAGAATATCATGGAAGGGCCCTCCATTTTAGAAGTTAGTGTCAGTGTTCAATCAATATTGTATTGTATAGTCAGTGTTTGTTATACATTAAACAAAAGACAGAGACGAGACTGAAAGAATGCCTTAGAGAACTGTTTAAACTATTTCAGCTGATAAGCAAAGTACCTGTATACTGAATACATGAAGTTTGTAACTAAACCAACTATGTCACTTTTAATGAAGACTACTTATTTTTGTCTCTTCAGAGCATGATTTAAAACCAAATATATTTTATGGGAGAGTAGATGTTTTTGGGCAACTGAAATAACACTTTTGAAGTTCTGCTATAAATGTTGTGCATTGGCATAATCTTTGTTCCTAACAGTTCAAAGAGATAACAAGGTATATCAGTCTAACAACTGAGAAACCTAATTTGTCTTGCATGAATATTAGTGGATATATACCATTAAAGAGAAGATAAACTCAAACGAGTTTTTAGCTCTTCTCAGGAAGATCATACTCTACAAAAAGGTTATGATTTTCCAAATGGTAATGAATGTCAATTAATCTCCAAAAGGTCACGCTTTGGAGATTCTGGTTTTCCACAAGGTTATGATCTCAAAAGTCATCTTTTTCCCAGAAGGTCCACTAAGCCAGTGGTTCTCAACCTGTGGTTCCTCAGGTTTTTTGGCCTACAACTCTCAGAAATCCCAGCCAGTTCACCAGTTGTTACGATTTCCAGGAGTTGAAGGCCAAGACATCTGGGGACTCACAGGTTGTGAACCACTGCACTAAGCAAAGGGATCTTGTAATACCTTAGAGCAGTGGTTCTCCACCTGTGGATCCCCAAGTGCTTTGGCCTACAACTCCCAGAAATCCCAGCCAGTTTACCAGCTGTTAGGATTTCTGGGAGATGAAGGCCAAAATATCTGAGGACCCACAGGCTGTGAACCACTGTCTTAGAGACTGAGGCAACGAAGCTGGTAGCATAAGGTTTTCATAGAGCGTGCATCTATTCTACACTGTAGAATTAAGATAGTTTTCCACCACTTCAACTGCCATGGCTCATGGGATTTGTAGTTTGGGGAAGCACCAGCACTCAGTAATTTTCCAACTCCCTTTATTCCATGGCATTGAGTCATGGCAGTTAAAGTGGTATCAGGCTGCATTAAATCTACAACGTAGATGCATCCTAAATCTTCTTCCTCAGTTCCATGGAGTAACAGACCTTTATAGACAGGTTGTATATGTGCATAACTAATGCAAAACATGTGAATAATATGATGATTTCAGTTTTATCTATGGTCAGTCAGGGGCAAATTTAAGACGATGTTTCCTAAACCCAAGATGTGTGGACCAGGCATCAGAAAAAGTAGATTTAGTCTACAAAAGCTTATTATAGCAACATTTTTCTCTCACTCTCTAAAGCGCTATGAGATACTGATATTTCAGACTAAGACAGTTAGGTCTTTGGACAATTCTATTAAGTTCAGCATCACTGCAATCCTGTCCACATTAAATTTTCTTCCTCATAGTCATGTAATACCTGGAACTGCCACTGTTATTGTATGTGTGTGTGTATATATATATGTGTGTGTGTGTGTGTGTATGTGTGTGTGTGTGCACTGATCAAAATATGGAAGTCATAGGAATGTCCAGTTTGTGTAATATTCATACATTTAAGATAATGTGCTGGCAGCAGCTAAAAGAAGTTGACTTCTGCCATCTGCTGCTATGAAAGTAAAAATAATGAAGATTCATAGTGTGTGCTGAAGAATTTTAAGAAAAAAAGGGGGGAGGGAGTCTAAATTTACATCTGGACCTATTTGGGCTCAAGCAGGAAGTTCTGTGTTAAGATGGCAAAATGTTTGAGAACAGGATCATGGCACTGCTAACAATTACGGTATTTCATCCTAATGCTAATTAGATTTAGGAAAATAGCTTTTGGCATTTGGAGCCAAAACTCTTCAACTGATTGTTACTAACAAAAGCCAACTGCTTTCCAGGCCCTGTTC